AAGAAAAAAAAAATTACAAAGACATTAAAAAAAAAAAAAAACTTTGATTTAAAACTGCCACATCGTCCTTTAACAGATTACGATATAAAAAAGTATGCTCATGAATTACGAATTCCAAACTTTCGTGGTGTTTTTATGAGAAACTCTCTACCCACGCGACCACGCATCAACGAGTGTGCAGTTGTAAACCTTGATGATAATTCTGGACCAGGTACACATTGGGTGGCATACCGAAAAAATGGTAAAAATGTCTTCTACTTTGATAGTTTTGGTGATTTACGACCACCTCTAGACCTCTTGAAATATTTCAAAGTTGATCAAATCAAGTACAATTATAACAAATATCAAAATTATAATACTTACACCTTTGGCCATTTATGTTTAAAATTTTTATGTAATTTGTTAGAACATCATGACAATTATCATTTGTATAAATAGTAAGAATTGTGAATAAAGAATTCAGTTGTGTACAATCACTCGACATGGTTGAATCATTGACCCTCAGTTTGTCTGGTACATCATCTGTATTAGAAACATACTATTTTCCACCTATAGAACTGGATAAAGATAAAACTTATACTCTTGGTTTGGTAGAATTACTTACATTTAATTCGATACCAAATATTGACGTCGGACACAATAAATTCAAAGTTGGTGATATTGAAATTGAACTACCTACAGGTAGTTATGAAATTGGTGACATAGATCGATATTTGAAAGAAAAGTTAAAGTCAACAGATATAAAAATTGAAATAAAACCTAATAACAATACTTTATGCAGTGAAATAATTTGCAATGAATTTGTCGATTTTCGACCAACTAACTCTATAGGACGTTTATTAGGTTTCACTAAACGATTGTTGCCAACCAATATAAATAATGTCTCCGACATGCCTGTAACCATTCTCAAAGTAAACGCTCTACGCGTTGAATGTAATATAACATCTGGAGCTTATATTAATCAAAATAGAGGTCATATCATTCATGAATTCTTTCCAGCTGTACCACCAGGATATAAGATCATTGAAGTTCCTAAACAGATTATATATTTACCTCTAACTGTCAGAGTTATTGATCATTTACAGCTACGACTAATTGACCAAGACGGTAATTTAATAAACTTTCGTGGAGAAGTAATCACGATTCGTTTACATATAAAGAGAGTATAATGGGAATAGTTTATAATGCTAAAGTAGGGAGTGGCTATATAACAACACCGCTATGCGCTCAAAAAGTCAGTCATCGACGGATAGTCAGAGGTCTAACACGTCGAAACATTCAGTTCCTGAAAAGTCTCGGGCTGAAGATTGTTCGAGACGTCGCAACAAAAAGAAGAAAAAGAAACGTCAACAGTTTAAAAAATTAACGTGTATATTTGTATGCTGTTGTCATTTCAAAGATGGAAGAAATACTTAGTGTGCAAACACCTATCATCTTTGATGAATCTATAGCTCATTATGAAGTTCATGCACATCAACCTTACAATTCACAAGCATTTAACAATAGCGATGAAATTCGTATATTAATACAACATCAAGACTTATGTCTCTTACCATCGAAAAGTTCTCTACACATTGTAGGAAAAATAAGAAGAAGTGATGGTAATGCTGTTACTGAGACAAAGTTCGTAAATAATGCTATATGCCATCTATTCGAAGATATCCGCTATGAAATTAATGCCATTGAGATAGACAGATGTAAAAATGTTGGATTGACAAGTACTATGAAAGGTTTGATTTCATTGAATCAAAATCAAAGTGCATTCCTCGAAAATGCCGGATGGCTTGATATTGAAGAAACTAAGACAATAATTGACAACAATGGTTACTTTGATGTGTCGATACCACTTTCCATGATTTTAGGATTCGCTGAAGATTATCACAAAATTGTTGTGAATGTAAAGCATGAACTTATTCTTACCCGATCAAGAGATAATTTAAACGCAGTCATACAAAACTTGGTGAGAATTGATGATACTGAGCAATATGAACCTTTTAAAATAGAACTCATACGAATCGAATGGTTGATGCCTTATGTAATTACGTCAGATAAGTGTAAAATACAGTTATTCAATTTCATTCAAAAGGATATTCCTATTTCTATGAGTTTTCGATCGTGGGAACTTTATGAGTATCCAGCATTACCACAAACGTCAAAACATCTTTGGACAGTAAAAACATCCAATCAATTAGAAAAACCAAGATATATTATATTAGGTTTTCAAACAAAACGCAAGTCTGATCAAACTAAAAATCCCAGCAGATTTGATCATTGCAGTGTAACCAATGTTAAACTTTTTCTCAATTCTCAGCAATATCCGTATGGAAATTTAAATCTTGATATAAGTAATAATCAATATTCTATGCTATATAACATGTATGCTAATTTTCAAATGAATTATTACAACAGAGACTGTATGTACAATCCACTTTTGAATAGAAAACAATTTATTACGCATGCACCTCTAATAGTAATAGATTGTTCTAAGCAAAATGAATCATTGAAACAAGCTGCTGTAGATGTACGTCTAGAGTTTGAAACAAAAAATGATATACCTGCGGAAACAGCTGCATATTTTTTAATTTTACACGATCGTATAGTTAAGTATAATCCAATAAGTGGTAACATTACGAAACTTGTATAAGTATTATAATATAATAAACATGTATACTTTTTTATCAAATAAATGTGTTTTAAAAATTTTAAAGGTATTCAATATTTTTAATAATAATGATAAACCTTATCCCCCACCTCATTCCATGAGATATACCGACTGGGCGCGTCATGCCTGTACGCCACCGTCGATAATATTACACCACCCAAAACACACTTAATCACATATATCTTTTTTTTTCTTTCATCAATCTGACGCATCATCGATCGATCATCGGGGGGGGGGGGGGGAGGGAGAGGGCTATAGGGCCGGGGGAGGCATGGGGCCTGCATCACACACGTCGATAACTACCGACCGAGCATACACATGCACATGCACATGCACATGCACATGCACATGCACGTGCACGTGCACATGCTCGGTCGGCTACAATGCAAACCGTCGATACAAAATCGGCCGATAAAACATTTCAGTGGCCGGTAAGGCAGGATTAATCATGTTACCGACTGCTGGTAAGGAAGGAATGAATACTCACATGGTAAAAGTGGCTTAGAACCCTTATAGCCTATACTACTTAGGTATACATTCAATATACAAATATACGTTTGAAGATGAAAACTCGAATATGTGTTAATAATTCGTTATGTCATCTCATTTGGCTGCAAAAATAATATCGGAAATACTACAAAATTACATTAATAATTATCTTCCAAATTGGTTGAATTCATGGAAAATCATAGTAAATGAAATCAAATTAATACATCCAACGTTCACACTTAAAAAAGAGACCTGTCTTCCTATGAAACTTAAGATAAGAACGATAAACATATATCATAAAGTAATCATGTCAAGTATCTGGAAATATACTCTGACTAGAGGCTAAGATGGAAAGGGAATGCTTTCAGAAAACTGTAACGACTGAGACTGAAGTTGAAAAAATGTACTGGCTTGTAGGAAAAAATTTGGAACTCACAATCGAAAATAAAACACTGTTTTACAAAGCCATAATCAAGCCAATTTGAACTTACGGCTTTCAACTATGGGGTGCTACTTTAAAATCAAATATTGAAATTTTGGATAGATTTTGATATTCGAAAATCCTACACAATATCATACGGGCTCCATCATTCGTTCCGAACAACATTATTCGAAATGACCTACAGATACCGTCAGTAAAAGAAGAACTAAATTTTTTTATAAAAAATGTAACACGAGACTACAAACTATTCGAATAAATTTAACAGTAAACTCCTCAAGATAACGATTACTATACTACCAGACTCAAGTATCACGAATTGATGAAAATCTAAATAAATCAAAATCTATGTGATATACAAATAATCTAAAAACAAAAACTAATTGTTCACCGAAGTACTTCGTGGAATACCATGTTAACTTATCATAATACTAACCACATTTGTTAATTATCAACATTTTATTGATAGATTACAAATAATTTCGGAATAGTAACAAAAACAACAAATCCATTTATTTATTTTTAGGGAAAGGTCGATAATTGAGTTCAAAATTTATACAAATTTCGTGCAAATGTTACATAGAAATTATACAAAACTTATACAAGACTTATATTAAACTTGTACAAGTTTTGTACCAATTTTTTTGTAAACAGTATGTACAAAATTTATACAAATTTTGTTCGAGTATTGCACAAGATTTCTACATATATGTATGTATGTATGTATGTATGTATGTATGTATGTATGTATGTATGTATGTATGTATATATATATATATATATATATTCTAGTATAAATTTTATATGTATTATATACACAATTTGTCTATTTATTTTCAGTGGGAATGTATGATCTTACAATTGAGTACCACAAAAAAGAACGCAGTGCGCATGTGCGGCATGCAATGCTCAGGAGTTATATATAAAATGTTTTCAATTATTATTAGCTAACGGTTTAATCTAATTAAATTTAGAACAATATATTTTTATTACATCAATTATGTGTAGCATATCTTATATCACAAAATTTGAAAATTTTGTTTTTTTTCCTAAGACGATTGCGATCTAAGTTTTCTTAATATCCGAATTTTAATATTTATTTTAGGTTAACAGAACATTGTACAAATTATTTTATTCGGAGTTGATAGTATTTTGTACTTGCACAATTAACTAGGTATTTTATAGATAGCAATATCCATAAACGGATATTTGATCACGAAACTTTGTTGGCATAGCCGAGAAAAAGCTTAACTTTTGCAGCTTAAAGCAGTTTCTTTTGTAACTAGATTTGCTATACGTTTCTGTTCTATAGATCAATGGGCTTCATTCAATATAACTATGTTTTTTAAATATCATATATACAAAAGCTTTTTGTGTATATGACACATTCGTTTATTGTAATTATTCAAGTACCGTATATCAAATAAACCCAATTACGCATTTTATGTAGCTCATTAATATTAAATAGCAACATGGTTATGTATCAAAATCTCGAGTCGTTTGGAAATTTCAGTGATACTATCATTTCGCCGGTAAATTGTGCCATGTAATGATTTATATTAGTAATTGTCAAAAATTTACTGACAATTATCATATAGTTAGCAGACAGATACTATGTACTGATCAATAAAAAACACAAAGTATTCATTAAGATTTATGTATTCATACAAATATAGATATTTTTGGTCATAGATTGCCATATCGGAAAATATTGAATAATTTATTTACGTAAGGTATATATCAGAAAATATTCACTATTAAATAGAGTAACAAAAGGATGTTGCAAGTAAACAATCCAAAGGTAAGCAATCATAATCATGTTTAAATTATTCATTCTCGCAGGATATCTAGATATTAATATTAAAATTTATGAAAAATTCGTGATATACTAGTGTTAAATACACTCTCCTTGATTCTAAAAAAGTAAATAAAATAATAAAGTGAAATAAAATCAATTCTCAGAGCAAACTCTTGGATAAAAAACTCAATTGTAAAACACCATTCTTCCTAGATCACATACGTTTCGTTGGACGATTATTAACCTCATCAGATCTTTATTCACGAAACAAATAAATATGGTTACTACAATTGAAACATAAAACTCAATACAATTAAAATCTACATTGCTTCACTATAAATACCTTATTGAAATTGTAAAAAACACATTTCAACCGCTATGTAGTAATAAATGTTATATATACCATTAATTATAGTATACCAAAATAAACTTTTGTCATGTTTTTCCATTCTATAACAATACTAATGTATAATTTATTGATAAGTTGTTATACTATAATTAATAGTATATAACATTTATGACTGTATATCGGTTGACATGCGTTTTTTATAATTTCGTTAAAGTATTTATAATGGACCAGGGCAGTTTTTTGTTCTATTAAGCTTTATGTTCCAATTGTTGTAACCATATTTATTTGTTTCGTGTATAAAAATTTGATGAGGTTGGCAGTCATCCAACGAAACATATACGTTATCTTGAAAGAATAGTGTTTTAAAATTAAGTTTTTACCCAAGATTTGCTCTCGGAACTCATTTGATTTACTTTTTGAAAAATTAGTGAATTATTATGCTGAAATTAATATAGTTGCTAAATGGATCATACGATGGTTTAAGAAAAAAACGTTACCATACGTGGTATAATATTGCTGGAAACTGTTTGAAAATATAGATTTTCTTCAATGAAGGAATTAAAAATTATTTATGTTATTTAAAATTTCATATAGTTTTTTACACTTGTAAATTATACTGTTTTTAACTTATTTTTATAATTATTGAATACTATAGAATAACTTTGGAATTTAAGTGATTTTACAAGTGGTTTCTGGCGGTATTTTCAATTGCATCCATTTGATGATAAAGTGTTTGTTCCCAGATGAAAAAAATTACCTATGATTGCATACCAGACTTGCATGTCATTGTATATAAAAGTTGGTAAAATTGCGTAAAAAAGTTATATGACAAAATAATGTGATCATCCACCTTACATTTTTTATTCAATTACTACGTGATTCAATCATTTAAGAAAGTAAAATGTCAGAAGTAATATAGAGAGTGATTATGATTACTTAAATTTGAATAACCTGACAATAATGAATTTTTTTATAACGTTCTTTCAAAGCAAACCAGAACTAATTTTTAAACAAATTGTATGTAAGCGTGTATCGTTCAAAATAACGTAATTGTGGCAACCTATGAAGGATATATGCAATATTTTACATTAACTAAATTATACATTAATACAATAATATAAATAATACATTAATTATCTGCGTATTTACGAAGAATATGAAATAAATAAGCAATATGACTATTAAATGATATATCGAAAAAAATAGCGATTATTTTTGGACTTTTTTATATTTCTTTTTAAGTTAGAATACAAATATTCTTACATAAAAATATGCATATAAGTTTTATAATTTGAATAAGAAATTATTTAAAATATATAAGTAAATTCTATTGCAAACACAATATTAAAATAAAATAACATAATATTGAAAGAGATAATTGTTTTAATCATCGAAATGGAATCTATAAAATAAATATTAGTTCAGATTTATAACACATAATTGATGATTTATAACAAAGCAATCTATATTATGATCTCGTCTTAAAAAGAGAACATTGACGAATGAAAATAGTAATAGTTATGTCAGAAAAAACTTTTCGTTTCAGAATAATATTAAGTTAAAATTGCTAGCATAATTTATTTATCTATAACATCCATATTATGAATATATATTTTATAATGATTTCATTTATAATGATATAATAATAAGAGATAACAAAACAATCTAACAGAGTATTTTTCACATTAAAATTTCATTATGTATGAACAAAAAATTTGTCTGCTATTGAACATTCTCAAATGACTAAACACACAGAGACCATTCATTTGTGCGAACGTTGTCTCCATTACTTCATGGATGAAGAAGCTTTAAATAAGCATGAAATAGGCTGTTTGGTATTGAATACATGTACAATTAAGCTAATTACGTACAATGCTCTAAGATTAAAACATTGTAAAGGTAGAGTAATCGTTCCTTACGTAATATATGCAAACTCAAAATGTTTATTCGAACCAGTAGAAAATGGTCGATCTTTTCAAGTCTTCAGCGTAGGTTTTTACATAACTTATAGTTTTGATTTAAGTAAATTAATATCACACAGAAAAAATAAAAATTAAGATTAAATGCTTGTAGTTTGGCTTATAAAACAATTTAAGATATTATTAACTGAAATGCAAGAATTATATAATAACGCTATATCAATGAAGTTTTTCTTTTTTGACGATTATACATTCAGTATGGCTAGAAAATTTCATATCTCTCATAAAAAATTTTCAGAGAAAAAAAATTAGAGATCACTGTCATTTCACTGATAAATTTAGAGAAACAGCTTACAATAGTTGTTCTTTAAGAACGTTCTCTTAACTGTATGGGTACTCAACCGCGGCTACGCGGAAAAATGAATTATTTGCATTCATCTTGCTTTTAACAAGAGGATTATAGAAACGTGTAACTTTGATGAAGTAAACTATTGCAATCTTTTGATGAAATAACTCGTAGTGATAGTGTTAGTTATACATTTTATAAATATAAATTTTCATCAATCATTATCCTTGCATTATAAACAAGATTTATTACAATATATCTTACTACTTTTAAATAACCTACATATAGTTGAATATAGAATTAAAAATGTTATGTGATGATTGACAAAACTATTTGAAAACCAAGGATGTAAGTAAATTCACAAAGCAAATACTTAGAGCTACGAGTTCTAATAAAGACGGATTTCATGACGATTTCTTAAGCAAAAGATGCGTATAAATCATCTTTTACACCAAAAGGTGTAAATAGGAGAAATCCACTTACACGTTTGGAACACAGTACGTACAATCGAAAGTATGAAAATTTAGTTATTAAAAATTTCAGTATTTCTTTATGTTTAAAAAACGTATTTCTCCTAGAACGTTTATCATACTTTTACGAAAATATTTTATAAGATAGTCACACAGAGTGTTGTAGCACAAAAAAAAGTTTTATTACTGAAGAGATTAATGTATCTATTAAACGGATAAAAAAATAACTAAATTATACTGATGACTTTTAGCGAAGGCAGATACCGATTAGCGTCGTTAAAGTGAATTAAGGAAATAATATTTACATATTCATTTAAGAGTCTCATTTATCGTAACTAAAGGTTATAACTACTAATCTCAGTGATTAGTAATTACTTTTATTTAAAATGAAAACATTTTCATATTAATCTTAAAAAAGAAATTATATTACTTATAATTACATGTGTCAGCTTTTATTTATGTTAAAAACAATTTTAATTTAACCTTCTAAAGGTTATAAATAACTTTTAAAGATGTGATTTATGAATTCTTATATTAATTTTAATTTACAATAGCTTAGAATAATTATACTTTAAGGACGTTCTCTTAGCTGTAGGGGTGTTTAAACTTGGTTGAGCAGAAAAATGAGTTACTTGCGTTCCTCTTCCTTTTAATAAGAGGATTACAGACAGATTGAAGTGAAAAAATTCAGATCTACTCCTCAAAGTGTCTATTTGCTTATAGATATTTTAACAATTTGATATGTGTTTTTATTTATTCATAAAAAATTGTAACCTCAAAAGTTATGAAACGTGTAACTTTAATGAATAAAACTATTACAAACTTTTAAAAATCTAAATTTAAAATTTTTAATTTCTTCAACATAACTTTGTTTACTGACTTTTCTAAAACGTGTTCACCGAATTGACGATCTCAATATAAAAAAAAGAAAAATATGGAAGCGATCCGGTGAAACGAGATCTCGCAGCCGCGGTGATTTTTTCGTTTATTACTTTTAGAAGAAAAGCGATCGGGATACAATTTTAATATGGCAATGATTTGTCCCTAGATTTTTGATAGTTGCAATTAATTTAGAGAGAGATCGATGTCTTTTTAATTGGAACTAGGGACCCTGTGATATAGGATCTATCACTTCCCTATGCTTAAGCATACGAGGTCTGTCCCGAAAGTATCGGGCCTACGTTTATATCTTCGCGCCATAGTGTGCCAGCGATCTCTACAGGACAGAAACGTCAACATTAAAGCCTCACAAATCTATTGGTTACTTACTGACACCTGCCGGGCGTATAGTTCATGCGCAGCGTGTCTTTATTTACAGTGTCTTTTTCGCTTTCGTCGGATTTTGATATTGTCAAAACTGACTGAAAAACAAGATCAACGAATTTGCATCAAATTTTGCTTTCAATTCAGAAAAACGAGTTCGGAAACTATTGAAATGATGCAAAAGGCCTTCGGAAGCGAGTGTATAAGCAAAACACGAATTAAAGAGTGGTATAAACGGTTCAAGGATGGTCACACTTCTGTCGATAGTGATTCTCGTTCCGGCCGATCTTCGACGACAAAAACCGCAGATAATATTGAGCGGGTGCGAGTTGCAATCGAACAAAATCATCGTATGACGGTGCGAAAACTAGAAGAAGACCTTGGGATACCAAAAACTATCATTTCAAAAATTTTAACCGAACATTTAGGAATGAATCGCATGTGTGCGAAATTCATCCCAAAATTGCTCACAGCAGAGCAGAAGAATATTCGCTTAGAAATCGCTCTGGACAATCTGGAAATGGTCAATAATGATGATAATGTGCTTAGAAAAGTTATTACAGGTGATGAATCTTGGATTTATGGTTATGATCCTGAAATAAAACAACAATCTGCACGGTGGAAGCATTCTGAATCGCCAAGACCAAAAAAAGTAC